GAAAAAGATGATCCTCTTCCTACTCGCAGAAAACTACTGCTCTCTGGCTCCAAAAAGGAGGTTGTCATCCATTCTGAGGGGACAGTACGTAACTGTAGCCCTTCTAATGCCAGGATACCATTCTCATTCCTGTGTCTCCGACTTTAGCTTGGTGAAAAAATACTGCAATACTCTTATCCAGATCTCCGACTTTAGCTTGGTGAAAAAATACTGCAATAATCTCTTATCCAGACTCTTCCCCCGCCATTTTGTCTCTTCTAAATGGAGGGAGAGCAACACGAAGGCTAACTCGTCAGTGGGCCTGGTTGTTCTGTGGATCCTCCCAGCCTCCCAGGCCCTGGATGTCATGGGTACCTGCTGGCAGTCACAGGGACGCCCCGCCAAGCCCCACCCCACAGGTGCATCAGTCTTGCAGGGTTACAGAGAGAAGAGGGGAGGGGAGGGGAGAGGAGACTGGGCGGGCAGGGAAGGAGGAAAACCATGATTCTGCTTCAAATCATGTAACAGCGCCTTACCCAACCATTCAGTTATTTGATGAACATTTTTGAAAACTTCTTACATCTTAGGCATAATTCAAGGTGCTGGTGATAGAAGTACAAAGTAAGACAGATAAGGTCCCCGTTCCCACGGAGCTCACATTATAAGAGAGTCAGGGACAAGGCCCTAGGAGCTGCAGTTCCAGGGCCTTATCTTGGCATCCAGGGCCACTGCAGGGCCTCTTCTCTACCTGAGTCTGTGGGTGCCACGTCCTGCTCCCGTTCCATCCAGGTGTGTGTCGTGAGGACAGCGAAGTTCAAAGAGGGTGACAGGGGGTAGAGCCACTAAGCACGGAAGCTGGAATCTGACCAAATATGGCGGCTTCAGTGTTCTTGTCTGTGTCCCTCAGGTATTGGCCACACGGTAGGGGCTCAAAAGCTATTTGAGAACGGCCCGTTTTACAGCTGCACGCGCATTTTTCCTGGCTGTGACGCCATTTCCGGCCGGGGCATGTTCCTTCCGGCTACCCAAACACCAGTCATAGGATTTGCCTTCAAGGGTTGTAGTCAGGACCAAGTTTAAACGCTCACCACTGGAGAACCAGTGCGAGCGACAAATAGGGGCTGTGAAGGGTTTGGGGACTGAGCGCTTCAGGTTTGCTGTGGACTCCAGGGTTTCTGGGGCTCCAAGGGCTTTGTGGACTGTGCTAATTCCAGGGTTAATGGGGACTCCAGGTGTGGGGCAGACTCCACAGGCTTCATGGGCTCCGGTCCACTTTGTTTTCCTAGAAGGGGGCACAGAGCAGGGCAAAGAAAGGAGAAAGGTCTAGAGGTGACAGCCCAAATCTTAGAAGGGCACCCCTTTGAGAACAGAATTTAGGCAACGTGGATCAGGGCTTGTCTCAACCTTTCCTCACGATCCCACGCGTAGAGCCTGCAGTGGTGTCTTCCCCTCTGGTCCCATCCCCGTAAATCCCCTTACCTGGAGCCACAGGGTTTCCTCAGGTCCATCGGCAGTGGCTTGTGTGACTTCCTGCAGCAGATTTGGCCCTCCCTCCTCTGGGCCTCCTGCTCAGTCCTCTTTCTGTGAGGGCAGCGACCCCTTCGGCCTGCTTGCCCTCTCTGAGGGCAAGGCTTGGGGCTGGTCCATTTCTGAGACCCAGCATCGCCCGGCACGGAGCGGAAGACACGTGGCTGGGACTGCGGGAAGTACTGGCGAGGTTTCACAGATGCACAACTCTTTACACAGGGTGTTGGGAGGGCAGCTGGGCTGATTTGGTCTTGGAGAATCACAGCAAGGTCTGGCCACCTCCAGCACTGCCCTTCCCAAGCCCCCCTGGAGATGTGGGGTACAGAGAATGAAGGAGTAGCTGAGTTCTGCCTGTTTTCAAGTGTTTTGGGCTGACTTGGGCCTGTGGCATCTGTGCAGTGCTGGTCACTGCCTGCTGAGCACCTGCAGACCAGATCTTTAGCTTCCACTCTGATCCAGTCCTTGGGGCTCCCGAAACCCTCTCCTCAACAGTGTGTGTGTGTGTGTGTGTGTGTGTGTGTGTGTGTGTGTGTGTGTGTGTGTTGGTTTTAATTGCTCCTTAAATTATTTCTCTTAATTTTCATCTTCCACAAAGTCCTCTGGGACTTGGCTTCGTTATAACGAGCTGCTAGCCCATTCCGCATTTAGAGGCCCTACAGGATTGGGGATGATTCCTCTAACGCACTGCAGGGCCCTCTCCCCACGGAGAGGCACTGGATTCCGGACACAGTGGGTACCTACCAAGCCCTGGCTCTCAGAAGATGGGACGATTATGGGTTTTCCCAGTTCCTCGGGCTTCAGAGGCATCTTGGACTCTTGGCAGGCTCTGACTCTAGGGCTCTTTTGTGCTTCGATGCCTGTGATTTTCTTTGTCCGCGGCTTCCTGATATGTTTCGCTCTAAGGAAAGGAGCTTCCGGTCAGTTCTGGCTTTCCACCCCTCCGCATCCCCGTGTGGGCTCTGGTCCGCTCCAGACCTTCTGCTTCAGAGCTCAACACTGCACCCCACTTACTGTGTTGTCCAGGGCAAGCCACACACCCTCTCGGGAAATCGCTTTCACTTCCTGAGCGACTGGCCCTGTGAGGTCAGCTATGAAAGTGCCTTTTACATTGCAGAGAGATCATTATTGGTCTTTATGTCCAGCTGATTGATTATGTTTTGAAAACAGCCTCTCAGTTTCCCCGGCCACCCTGCTCCTCTCCTTTCTCTCCCACCTGTCTTGCTGCCCCTGAACTCTTCCCCCGGCTCTGGCCCGGCCTTTCCTTGCTCAGACAGAGACACAGCTTCCTGCCTGGCTCCAGACTCCCAGCTCTTCCGGTCTGGCCTGTTTCTCTCTTGAGCTCACACTTCTGTTCCCAGCTCAGCATTCTCCCAGGGCTCCAGGCCGAGGTTTCAGGCCAAGCCATGCCAGGCTGGAGGACCCTGTCCAGCTCTCTGACACGACCTCTGGCAACTCTGCCCTTCTCACTCTTGGCTCCTAGCCAAAGCATCTGGCCAAGTTTCAAAGGTCTTTAAGAACTGACACCAAGGACTTTGCAGAGCCTCACTTTTAGCCGTTGCCTGTTGCTCTTAACGCAACTGAAATTGCACAGAGATGATGAAAATGCTTCAGATGTGCCCCGGCCTTCTGTACCTGCTACTTTTCAACAAAAGTGAAACAAAACAAAACCGAATACTTGGCCTTCTGGGCCCACCTCAGAGGGCACCTTGGGAACTGTACAAGGCTGCCACTCCCTCACGTTCCTCCCTTGTGAAATGCGCTGAAGACGTCCATGCCACGGGCCTGCTTTTGGTTCTTGCCCTCACAGAGAAGGACCATTCCCACCTCCGGCTCCGGTTTTCATGGGTCAGAAACTTAACCCCCCCAAATCACGTTACTGGTGTTTGGAGGTGGGGCCTTTGAGAGGCAGCTAGGGTTAGGTGATGTCGTAGGTATGGGGCCTCCACAGTGGCATTAGTGGGTTTGTAGGAGGAAGAGAGCCCTGCACTAGCCCACCTGCTCGGTCTCCCTGTGGGGTGTGCTCTGCCGTGTTTCCACGCAGCAGGAACCTCGGCGGACGCCAAGCAGGTGATGGCTTCGTGCTCCTGGACTTCCCAGCGACTGGAGCTGTGAGTCGACCTAATGTCTCTTCTTGATGAATTACCCAGTGCCAGCAATGTTGTTACAGCAGCATAAAAACGAGGTAAGACATACTCACATCAGGGGGAGGAGGCAGAGGAAGAGCAGCAGGACTGCGACGGACCCATAAGTAACACCCTGGAGGAGCCCTTTCAGGAAGGACTGGGGAGTCAAAGGACTCCTTCCTGGGGGCAGAGAGCACAGGATGAAGGCTTCTCTCCCAAGGCCTCTGTAACCCGAATTCTGCTTCGTCCTCCAGCCCCCCAGCCCCAGACTTGGAGCCCCCCTCACTTGACATCAGCAGGATGCTCAAAGCGTGGGTTCCATTTTGGTTCTTGCCCTCGCAGAGCAGGATCATCCCCGCCGCGGGCTCCTTGGACAGGCTCGTGGTGCTGTTGGCCCAGGGGCCGTGGGTGGCGGAAGTCACCTGGAAGTTGCCGTCTACGCTGTCCACACCCACGGGGGCACCTCCAATCGCCCACCGCACGGAAGGAGTGGGGGTCCCATGGAAGGAGCAGCTGCACTGCAATGTCTCCTCCAAGGAACAAGAGGAGCTGAGCAGCCTGGCAGGTGCTGTGGAGAGGGGCGTCAGGAGTCAACAAGGCATGCAGGTTTCCCTCGCTTTCCTCCAAGGCCCACACTTCTTATTCGTGCAGATTCACGAGGAGCTTCGGGGAGAATTTCCAGAAGCCCACAGGATGGAGGCCTCACCAAGTACCTCTGGGTGGATGGTTCATGAAATTTCCGAGGATCTCCAGTGCCTCCGATCCCTCACTCGCCCCGGGGTTGACATCAAGCTTGTGCTTTCTGTCTCCCATCCCCAGCTCTCTCCTTAGGCTCTGAGATCGGTTTCTCCCTGTAGCAGTGTCCAGAGACCATTGAGCAAGCCCATCGCCTTCTCTGCTGGAAAATGGGGAGGCGAACCGAACCTGTCTCATGTTGCCACTGCCGTAAGAAAAGAATGTCCTAAGGACCCTGGTGTTCCTAGCTCAACGCAGTGATAAAGCATCGATAAAGTATCAGCCGTTCCATACGCAGAGCCTCTCTCTAGTTTATTCTTTGCTGTCCGCACGGGCCTACCATGGAACTTTCATCCGAAGCCAAGACTGCTGTAATGCTTCCGTGGCAAGAGTGTTTGAAACGCCTTCATCTGTGTAGCTTTGGGAGGTCTTTCGGACCATTTGAGCGCAGTCACATTCTTCAGAGCCTCCAATAACAAGGACTCTTGAGTTTAGTGTTTTCCGTATCCTTTCCTTGGGGTTTTTTGCTGTCACGACAGGAAAGGGGCTGTTTCCCCTTCACCGTTGTCCCTTCATCTTGGTCTTCTGCTTCGGGCCACCGGGGCCGGGGGCGCTTTCAGGGGATCGTGTTGCACCATCCCATCCACCGCTGCCCCCAGGCGGGGCTTTCCTTCTGGAAAGAGAAGCCATGGAGACACAGAGATGCCGAAAACTCGGACCCCGGGGCCGCCAGGGGCACCTGCGATAGCTCGTCTTCACAGCGGCCTGGCTGAACCACCACCCGCACACCCAGTCCCCTCTCCGGGTCCCGCCCGAAGCTGGCTCACAGAAGAAGTCTGACCCACAGCGCTTACCTGGGGCTTCCGCCCTTACGTCCTCTCTTCTCACCCCCACAGCAACCCAACCCTGGCTTCCTGGAGGCCACCACGGCTGCTTCCCATCCCACTCACCGGGCAGCCCCATGTGCGGCGGCGACAGATCCTGGGACGGGAGAGGCCCTTTACTGCGCTGCTCTAACATCATAGCGGAGGGGTTCAGAAGAAACCAGGTAACTGAAAGAAGATGTGGGAGAGAGAAAGTATTCCCGGTGAGGCTGGGGCTTCTGTCTCTCTGGTCCCCCCGAAGCCTGTTTACCCAGAGAAGCAGGAATTACGTGGGGTGACCCCCCGGGAGCACCAGGGGACAGGCAGGATCCTCGGTGATGCCCCAGTACCACACCCCGTTTCTTAGCTCCCCCTGGTCATTCAGTCCCAGTCTCCACCTCCTCGGGAGGGTCTGCAATGCTGGCTGCACTGACTTCTGTCTTGAATCTGATGGGGACCCACGGAAGGGCTGTACACGTGGAGGGACAGGGTGCGGAGGTTCAGACGTCTGCACTGTCCCATGAGGCCATGGGAGAAATGGCCCGGACGGGAAGTGACTGAGGTCAGGTGGCCCAGGGAGAGTCTGCCGCGGTCAGGAAACAATGACACGGAGCTGGCGTTGGAGCCGTGAGGGACACCGTGAGGGGGGTGAGGACAGGATCTCTGTGGTCCTTGTAGTGCCCAAAACTAGTACCAGTCAACCCGTCCATTCATGACAGGAAGTCATGGGTGCAGACTGTAAGATTAGGGCTGTTATCCACTCACAGAATTATACACTGTAAACTCCTCAAGCTTATGGGGAAACAAATAGAATAAAAATCATTACAAAAGGAGGCAATAATTTTATCTCCTTGTTCACATTATTGCCTTACTTCTACTTTCTTTATGTTTAATTTGTTCTCTTTTTCCTGACCGATCACAGCTTCAGCTGCACCCCAAGTTCTGATAGTTTTCTCTACATGATTTCATTATCATTAAGCTACCAGTCCATGTCCAGCTGAATAGTAACAAAGACGGATAATACAAAGTGTTGGTGAGGATGTGTGGGACTGAGCTTTCACACATGTTCGTGATAATATAAACCCAGGCCAGCACAGTATTTACAACAGTGGAAGACACACATACTCACTGACTGTCAGTTCTCCTCCTAGACCCACACCCAGCACAAGGGTCTGTATGTGTACACCAAAATACACGTGCAAAAGTATTTGCAGCAGTATTATTTATAACAACCGAAGCACCCGAACATCGTAAACATAAAATAGAAAAACGATTTTCCTATGCAGCAATCCAAACGTTAGTTAATTCTAGGGGCAACAACATGGGTCAGTTTCACAGGTAACATATTGAACGCACGAGGCCAGGCGCAAGTGAATAAGAAAGTATGATTGCATTTATTCAGAGTTTGGAAAACATTCGATAAATCAAAATGTAATGCTTGTGGATGCACTCATAGGTAGTAAAATTGTTCTTGAAATGGATTCGCCATGCCTGCCATAAATGTGGGGACAGTAATTGCCTTTGAGAGGGGAGGAGGTGGCACTTAGTAAGGGGTTTAGACTGATCTCCCGGGGTACTGATTGTACCGCTCCGCACCGGCTCATGCCTTACCTAGGCACAGCTCCAGGGGCCCATTCCCGCGGTCCACCTACTCGGTCATATGTCCAGGCCCTTGGCCACTGCCCATGCGTTTTGGGGGGCTGTTCACCTCCCAGAATGGACTCTTCACTCTTCACTCAAGCTGTCAGTCTTCCAAACAGGGTGTAGTCCGTTCCCTTTGGAGTTTCCACCCATAAGCCAAGACGCCCTTGTGGGTCAGTTAAGAACTATTCCTAGGCACCACAGGAGTAATTCAAAGAGGTAGCAATTCCGTAGGTGGTTCCAAAGTTGATCCTGGGGGAAAAGCGGCCACCTGCGTCTGAATGCCTTTCCTGGGTGGTGCGTTCCCATGTAAACCATTTCCATCGGGTTACAGAGTTCTCCTGGGAGTGGTCTTCATTGTCGGAGTGTTTGTCCGGCATTACCAAACACGTCCTGGCTGTCAGGTTTCAGGGTTACCGATATCCTAAAGTCACAGGGGTAATCCCAGCATTCACCACTAGGTGGTGCTCGCTGGCTTTTGTGACAGCTCAGGCGCCTAAGGACCCCAAGACTGCTTTGAAGTGGTTTTGTGGGTTAACAGCTAGCAGTACTCTGTGGGTATTGAGAGACGCATCCTTCAAAATCCAAACAAAAAACCGGAGGATGGGATTCTATCATACTTTATCTATCACATATCCTACACTGTTTCAAAGGAACAATCGAGTGGTTTGGGGCAACTTTTCCGTAAGGTTCCCATTTACAATACTCACTCAGTGTTGGCCGAGGGGAGAATTTACACGCCTTCTGGAGGTTTTACAACAGCATGAAGAAATGTCCACCAATCAGATGCAGTGTTCATCCCCACAGTGCGTTCGGGTAAACACATTCACAGAATACTCTTGTGTACTCTGACCAAACATTCCGATTTTCACCCGAATGCCCACCTTCATCGCACCAACCCTTCCGGTTCCCTGTCTTTCCAATCAAACTTCAAGGAACTCACGAACAGGTTTTGGGCTAGTGTCTGGGGCACCCAGGCCGCAGAGTTCCAGAAACACCGCTCACCCCCAGGCCATTTTGCCACTAATCTGCTCATGGCTGGGCCCGCAGCTGGCAGTAGGCCAAGGGGCTCAGGCCCTTTTGTCACTTACATTGGTTACGTCATTGGTACGTCACCTCGGGAGATCTGAGGCGGGGTTTCTCCTTGTGCTTTTTGCCTGCTGGCTTTTAATATTCTCCTAAAGTAGAGTGAACAGAGCAGAGTCGATAGGGCTTTTCAATGTTGGGGACAGCATGATGTGATGATGTGTCACAGTTATGGTGTGGGTCTAGACGAACCCCCAAAGTCTCATACGGTCAGAGGTGGCTGAGTCTGGAATGTGTGGTGCTAGGATTAAGGGCACGCAAACAGAGTTTGTACCGTGCCTCTGTTGCACAAGTTGGTCTTGCGTATCTGACCTTAGTTCCTGGCTCCTCCGGAAGTTGAGCTGGTATCGCTGGACCCAGTGTCCCCATTCTGAATCACACGGCTCCGTATCTGGTGTGGTCAGCTCTCGCTCTGACGCCCACTGTTAAGCATATCTGGTGTGGGCGGCGGGGGCCCCCCATCACATTTTTAGATGACTCAGTGACGTAAGGCCCACTGGACGGACAGAGACACTTCCAAGGGCCTAGAGATGGCTTCTCAGAGGTCAGGACAAAGCCCTTCTTCAGGAAAGGCTGAATTCCTTACTGCACAACATGGTGCAACCCCGATCCAGGACTGCATTGAATGTGGAAGCTGAGTCTGAGGAGAGGGAGATCACAAAGGAGTTTTAAATTGAAATACACACGGCTGGGATGTGTCCCTGTGATGTCATTTTGATCTCTCTTTCGGTATCTCCAAGCTATTTCATAATATGTGAGTGAAACTTGGATCATTTGTCATTCGTGCTAAAGCTTTATGTATTATGTGTAAATGTATATAACTGCACACCCATGTATATATACCGATTAGCATATATACACGAATGAATAAAACAAAGATACGGAAAATATATGACGAGCTGTGAAAATGTCTGATAAGCGTGCTTGGTGTGTGTGGTAAGATGTCTGATAAGCTGCTTGTGCGTATAGATGAATACATGATAAATGTTTGATAGAATGCACACAGGCTTATCTCAATGATAAATGTGTGATAATCTTACCCGTGTTTACTTATGGATAAAGAGCAGTGATTAGAGAAAAAAAGTAGGATTTTAAAGTTGTTAAAGAGGGCTGGGGATTTGGCTCCTTGGTTCCACCGCCTGTCTTGCAAGCACAAGGTCCCGAGTTCAATCCCTGGTACCAAAAAGAATTAAAATTAAAGAGTTACCACATTTGCCAGCTCACACAGTAAGGGCATCCGGCAGGGTTTTGCAGAGGAAGAAAAGCAGCAGGACTCTAGGATTACAGGAGCAGACCGAGGAGACCCGGCTCCCGGCCAGAGGCTGGACAGTCACTCAGGGGCCGTCGGTCCGCGGGCTGGAGAGGTGGGGAAAGCCGGTAGGTACTCAGAACAGGAGGCCGGGAGGCCCAGAACAGGAGGGCTTACTGCGCAGTCCCTCAGAGGCTGCACACTGCAGCTCCTGGCACAGCTGCTGAAGCCAGACCTTGGCCAAAGGTGGAAGTATCTGCGCCCCCTTCCTCCTTTCTGCCCCGCTCAGGGGCGGCCCCCAACACCCGGGGCCTAAGTGACCCATTCACCGCGCAGGGCAGGCTAGGACGGGGTGGGCCACTCCTGCACTGACGGACGAGGAGCCGGATCGGTAACTTAGCAAGGCCCTGACCCTATGGCTGCAGACACACTGCTTGGCCGGCTGCCCTTCGGATTGACCTGGCCACGCAGGCCGACAGGCTGCCCAGGCTCCTGGCTGGCACGCAGAGACCAACTCCTGTCTCCCGCCCCGGAACGCCATCCTAACAGACCGCGTCTCGAGCTCCCTGCCGACTCTGATGCAGGGCCGCGTGCCCGGGAGCCCTGGAGGGATCCGTTGCGGGTCCTGCACCAAGCGTGCCCGGGAGGGGACAGTCGTCCGGGCTCTGGACCCGGAAGCCAGGTGAGGGCGGGACGGTCGCGCTGGGTCCCTCCAGCCAATCAGCAGCCGCGCGCGCGCCCCCACAGCCAATCACATCCACGATAGTATCAGCGATCCGAAAGGAGTATTTCTTCCTTTCTGGTCCCAGCTTTTTATTTGTTTTTCTTACCTACTCGATCTGGAAACCGCAACTCAGGTGTCTGCTATTTTGCTGCTCTTAGAAGAAAAGACTTCAGTCTTTTACTATTGTGTAAAACCATGTCAACTACGATTTTTTTCCCATATACCAACATTATCATGTTGAAGTAATTGTCTTCTATTCCTAGCTTGTCGAGCGCATTTATCATGAAAGGGTGCGGAATATTATCAACTGCCTTGTCTGCACCAATTTAGATAATCCTGTTATTTTCTCCCTTCGATCAATATGGCATATTGTGATTGATTTTCACACGTTGAACCATCTTACATTTTTAGGAGTAAGTCCCTCTGGCTACGGTGTCTGCCTTCTGAATTAAGCTGGGGACTGTTTGGTTGAGGGTGTTTGGTTGAGGTGTATCAATATTCGTCAGTGCTGTTGGTTTGTAGTTTTGTTTTCCTGTAGCATCTTTGGCATTCGTAGCAGGGTAGTGCTGGCCTTCTCAAATGACCTAGGTGTTCCCTTCCCTGTAATCTTATGGAAGAGACTAAGAAAGATTAATGCTAATTCCTCTTTAAGTACTTAGTAGAATTTACCAGGTATGCGGTCTACTCAATGAGTTTTCTTTGTGGGGAGGTTTTTCTTTTTTAAAAAAATTCAATACCCTTACTAGTTATTAATCTATTCAGGTTACCTATTTCTTCATGACTCAGTCTTGGTAGGTTGATTGTGTCTAGGAATTTGACCAGTTATTTAGATTATCTGGCTCATTTATGCACAACTGTTCATAGTAATCTCTCAAAATCCTTTTTATTTGTTTCTCTAAAATCAGGATGAACATCATTTTCACTCATGATTTTCATAATTGTGATTATTTTCTTAATCTCCTAGGTAAAAGTTGGTCTGTTTGGTTCATCTTTTCGAAGATCCAATTTTTAATTTTGTTGATTTTCTTTGCTGGGTAATCAACCTGGGGCTTTCACACTGAGCTACATTTCTAGCCTTTTTATTATTTTAAATTTTGAGACAGAGTCTTGCTAAGCAACTAAGTGGTCCCGGCCGGGCTTGAACTCCATCCTCCTGCCTCAGCTTCCTGGAGTGCTGGGATCACAGGCATGGTCCATCCCTCCTGGCTTCTACTCCAGCCTGTGTTTCCCTGGTGTGACACACAGTGGTTTTGCAGCAGAAGAGTGAAGATGATGAAAATGGTGAGGAAAACTCCAAGTGTCCTACATAAATATGATGACACGGAACTGAAATGCTTTCAACTGTTCTGAAAACAGGCAAGAAGGCAGAGGCAGGAGGACCTCTGAGAGTTCAAAGCCAGCTGGGCTACATAGTGAGAGCCGGGTCAGCCTGAACTACAAAGCAAGACCCTGTCTCAAAAAAGCAAAAACAAAAACAAAAACCTGAAAGAAAAAAAAAACAACCCAAAACAAAATAACTAGACGATATTGAAAAATGGTGATTTTGGTGATCTTTAGAGGAAGAACTAGAGAAAATTTGTCCTTCTGCTCCAGTTGCTGAGTAAGCACAGATGCTGGGGATTTTGATTCCCAGTGTGGGCTTTTCTGCATCTGGCACAACCTAACGACACTTCCGGTTGTCATGGTGGGTGGGGGGAACTGCTGGCATTTTGTGAGTCACAATGCACAGGACAACTCCCAGGCCAAGGAGTCACCCCGCCCGAGTGCCCAGATACAGACAGCCTTGAGGTGGACAAACCCTTCTCCAACGCCACCTGTGGGAAAGTGCGGGCATCGGGGGAGGGTGCAGCTTGCCCAGCTGCAGGGTTGGAGAGAAGAGACAACCTCGTGGGGCTGTGGGGCTGTGCAGCGGAGCACCAGGAGGCACGGAGCCGCACGAGGGGAAGGCGATACTGTGAGGGGGCCGGAACAATTCTCCCTGACGGGTGTTTAGCGGGGAGGGCCGGGCTGGGGCTGCACTGGGAACTCACACTGCTGGCGATGCATGCGGGTGACAGGCTGGAAGGTGAGAAGGCGGGGCAGGAAGCTGTGGCTATGGTTTGTGGGGGACAAGTCAGACTTGGGGCGGAGGAGGGGTAGGAAGAGTAGAGGAGGAACTGGGTGACTCCCAGGAAGGGGCATTTCGGGGAAGGGGAAGTGAGACAATTCTGGTTATGGACACATGAAATAGGCCCGTGCTTCTCCTTTGCTCTCGTGTACACCAGTCTTCCCCTCCCCCTGTGGCAGGGGAGTCGTGCATGAATGATCGTTTGGCAGCCTTCGGCCCTTGGTTGAACGCACGCCGACTGGCACCTCAGGCTGACCGCTGCTGGGGTTACTGCAGGTCAGACACTGCGCTGCGGGAACTGCAGTGTTGGTTCCCTGAAACGCAGAGATGAACTGCAGAGCAAAGCGGGGTGATCCCCATCTCCCAAACGAGCCTGCGGCAGTGGCCAGGGACTAGGCCATGAGGTGTGTGTTAGAACCCTAAAGGTCTGACTTCAACACCTACATTGTTTTTTAAACTGGGATAAAATTCACATCATAAAACGTTCCACAGGGAACAAGTCAGTGCATTTAGTCCGCCCACAATGTTCTGCACCTATCACCTCTGTCTAGTTGCAAAGCATTTTTATAGCCCCAGGAGGAGATCTTCTACCAACTATACGGCCACTTCCCGTCCGCTTCTCCCCCAGATGCAAGCAAACACCAGACGATCGTGCATTTCCAGAGACTTACTCCGGACAGTGCATGCAAACAGGAGCCACACGACGTGTGACCATCACTCTCTGGCTTCTCCATAGCCCACGTTCTCCAGGCTCGTCCATGCGGGAGGGTGGCTGATGCTTCCGTCCTTTTCATGGCTGCGAGGTCTCCCCTAGGTGGACGTCCATTCATCGGTCGATGGACATAGGCTGCTGTCAAAGGGGAAAGCGGTTGACTGCTGGTCTCTGTGGCCTTCACCAAGACACTTGACCTGGTCTCTAGATCCAGCTGGAAAGCTCAGAGATGAATGGGATCCAACAGAAAAACGCTGTAGGGTCTTCCCAGGGTGGCAGTCAGGACAAACCCGTAGTCCCGGGGGAACAGGGAGAGGAGGTGCAAACTCAGAATGTGGTTCAGTGGCCCCTTGCAGGAACAGGCAGAGAGGATCCTAAAATGGGAAATGAGAGGCTGGAAGAGGGAAGGTAAGGACCTGCTTCAGAAGATCCTGTGTCAGGACACAAATGGTGTCTGCAGTTTAAAAGGAGGTGCTCTCCCTGCCCAGTGCTGTCACCCAAGTCCCACATCCAAACTTCCTGTTTGAACCCCTAACCTGCAACATGATGGCACATGCGGGTCAGGCCGGTGAATGAGACGAACGCCCTTATCAGAGATCCCAAAGAGCCCATTTTACCGTTCTTCCATGCAGAGGTCACAGGAAGGCACCATCCCTGCACCAGACAGCCAGCCCTGTCAGACACCGACTCTGCTGGAGTCTGATTTCACAGTCTCCAGGACTGTGGGAAAACATTTCCGTTGTTTACAAACTGCAGTTCGCGGCATTTTGTTACAGCGGCTCAACACGGGTGCCAGGCGCCATGGAGCTCTTCACAGACCCGGATGGAACCTGAGGGAGAACTGGGCCTGAGCAGCGGGGTGAGTCCAGGCGGCACAGCGCAGAGGGTGTGGAGCTGTGGGCTGCTCGAGGGCAGATGTCCAGGAGGACGTGGGAGCTGCAGGCTCAGCAGAGAGGCTTGGGCTGGACATGCACGTTGGGAGCCTTAGCGACCGGCCGAGTGTCCCGCGGGTCACTTTGAAGACTCAGTACAAGGGTCGTGTGTGTCCGAGGCTGGGCCTCAGAACACCCACCTGCGCCCAGCACTGCCCTGCCTGGGTGCGGCTCACGGCCTGGAGATCAGCCCGGGGGACATGCTCTGTCTCTGTGCAGATGTCACCGAGTGAACCCACGCACCTGCGTGGTGGCACCTCGGGATTCGCCGCCCTACGTGTGGCCTGCCATTGCCCGAAATGTTCTTGTATCGTGCATGGCTGTACTTACATGGATGATACTTTATAAGTGTTAATGTGAATTTTGTTAAAGAGTAACATTTCTATAGGAAAGGGCACAGATCACAAGTGTTTCGCTAAAATGTTTTTTTAACAGAATGTGCCTGAGCAGTAAGTACGCAGATAAATGAATCCATCCTGACAGAGACCCCTAGGACATCTCTACTACCCGCTTGCTGCCACTGTCCCCTCACAATGGTCCCCAGTAACTGGACTTCTAATACCAAAGATTAGTTTTCCCATTTCTAGGGAGAGCACATAGCGTGTTTCCTTTGTATCTGGGTTCTTTCACCAAATATTATGCTCGCAAGACTCATACATGTTGTGTGGGGATGTTATTTCTTCTTTTGCTGTGTGAATGCTGTGCAGTTTATTTAGCTGTGTGTTGAAGGGAATTGGACAGGTGTCATTGTCAGCGTTGCAATTAGAGCTGCTCTGAACATTCCCAGTGGGCTTCGTGAACACCTGCACGCATCTCAGTCGGGTGTGCACCACACGCGGAACTGCAGGCTCACATGCTCAATGTTAGTAGAGGGGCAAACCGTTTTTGTAGTGGCCGTACCAACATCCACTGCTGCCAAGAGAGTATCAGAGCTCCTTTGCTCTGTGTCTTCATCAACAGCTGATATCCCTTGAAATTATTTATTTTAGCCAGTTCGGTGGTTGTGTGGCATTACGATTTTTTTTTTTTTTTTTTTTTTT